TCCTTCCTTCCTTCCTTCCTTCCTTCCTTCCTTCCTTCCTTCCTTCCTTCCTTCCTTCCTTCCTTCCTTCCTTCCTTCCACCTCAGCAAGAGCTAAGTAGTTCAGGCTGGGTACGTGCTAAAAGACGTTGGCCAAGAGGTCTGATCCCAGGCCCAGCCAGGTCCTTGGTTGAACAGAGGACACCAGCTGTGAATTCCAGAGGCTCTGAAGGATGGGAGCCCAACGGCAGCTTCGTCTCAGGGCATCACTTCCTTCCTTAGAGGCAGAAGAGGCCGCCTCCATTTAGTCCCTCATATTTACATACCCATAAGGTAAATGCACAAGGTGATGATACGTGTATGGCAGCTCCATTCTGAGAGTTGATACTTCTGATTAAAACAAGGACTAGCTTGGAATACTGTAACAGTATCGCATATTGAGTTATTCAAAAGCATGTTCTCTTACTTGAAARGAGATGAATATCTGTCTTTTTATTGAATAAACTCAAAACAGGATCTGGGAACAGAAAAGGGGAGGGATGCTGTGTCAGCATGTGGGTTGCAAATGGAACAAAAATTATTTCAAATGTGCACGGGAACCCAGAAAGAAAAAAGATTAAGCATGCTGCAGAGCTTTGACCAATTGCCCTTCTCATCCTTACTTTAAATAGTTTTTTTCCCCGAGTTAAAAAGATTACAGCATTTTTAAGAAGCAGACAGTGAAACCCTGTGGGAGCAAARCTTTCCCCTCCAGCCTGGCGGAGGGAGCCGCGTCGCTGCCACGGCCCAACCAGTCAAGTTTTGCAACGAGGGTTTCATGCAGTCTCCAGGAGGGCAAGGGCAGATGGCAAGTGACATTGTTTCCTCCCGTGGACTTGAGCAGCTTGGTGCTTTTGTGATCCATCAGCCAGAAGCAGCACTTTGCAGTGGCAGACCTGGAGGCAGCTTTGCTTTCATTTCTGGGAACCTTTTTGTTCTGTTTTGTTTCTGGCTTGTTCTCTCTTAGAAAGATCTCTGAGGAAAAAGCTATTCTTTACTGTAACTCTATAGTTATCTAGAATGCACAGCAGTCTTTCATGGCTTGTTATGTTTAATTCATGGCCTGAAGGGATGAGCAGCAAGAAGTCAGATTGTTGGTTTGACAGTAGTTCTATAGAAGAAGAAATTATGTACAGCAGARGCAGAGCTGCTACGTAGTTTTCCAAGCAGTCAGAATTGTTGTTCTGCCTTCAGCAGACAGTATTTTTGAATACATATTGTAGTACTGGAAAGATGTGTGGATGCACAGGCAAATCCAGAGGTGCAGTTGCATAATGCGCAGAGATGAGGACGTAACATCACTGGCCCTTAAGCATGTGCTGCATTTCAAATCTAAGAGTACTTGCACTGAAGTCCTGGAGCTACAGCTACGACTGAAATATTGGTATTCTGTTGCAACTGTATTTTGAATGTGTGGCCATTCCTCTGGAATGGTGCATAGAAATGGTAATACTGCTCTCCTCTGGCACTAAATATTGAAGTTATTCTGTCCTCAGAGGTGGGCTTCATCTCATCAGATTTAAGATTTAAGTCATCCAACATGTAGGCAGCTGACACACACTACAGGTCTTACGTTTCCTTCTGTAGTTAGAGATCAGCTTCTCCACAAAGTGGTTTGCTCCCTCCTGGGACAGGCTATTCAGATAGGTGGGAGAAATGACCTGCTAGAGCTGCTTGTCTCTCTGTTGGCTACAGATGGACTTTAGCAGCCTAACTTAGATCAGATGCTTAACTTTGACACTGCATTAGCCCCACAGAGATTTTTATCATCTCTCACTGTTTTCTAACATGGGTTTTTCAGCTACCATTCCACTCCTGACAGCGTTTGCTGTAGGTGCCTGGTTGCAGTGAGTCTGGCATGGACAGTGCTTCATCTCTGTCAATTATCTTTGTAAGCTCTTTGTATTGCATTTACAAACACGTTTTCCTTAAGTGGAATCCCTGTTTAGGTATCCTTTTGACCTGCCTAGTTAAAGGCAATTAACCTCTGAATTTGTCAACTTGACGTAAACAAAAGCTTTTTTTTTTTTTTCCTTGATATTGCACAAATCCAAATATATGGATACGAAGTTTCCCAGTTTAATGGTATTTTTTGTAACCTGACCAAAAGGAAGACATCCTGCCCATTACTGCAAGGGCAGACATACCRTTCTGCACTCAGAGGAATTCCATCTCAGCAGGGCTGTAATTGGCAATCTGTGGAGTGTGGCCGCCAGGGAAATGCTCTTTCAAGTGACTTTAAACTCCTTGAAAGGAATTGGATAAATGAAGCTGGCTTTCCTAGAACTGTTCTGATTCCAGATCATAAATTTGAATTTATTGAATAATGCCTCTGTCCATCTGTCTGTCCATCTGCTTCCTCCACCTCTCTCAACCCTATTTCTTTTTCCCCCTGAAAACCCCAGAATTGGATAATAAAGCCTTTGAGAGCTAACGTATTTTTCCAGGGGCAGCCTGAGTGCAAAATCTATCCCATCTGGCAATACTTTATAAAAGTTAAACCAGGGGAAGAGCGTAGGGCCTGATCCTGAAAACACTCGAACATGTGTTGGACCAATCATGAGAGCAAAGTTATACTTGGGACATTTGGAGGTGAGCTTTCGTCTCCTTGTAGTCTGAAATACAGTGCCTGCATGAGAGTTTCTGTGCATAGGAAGATCTAGGCTGGCCTTTTGCAGCGTAACCATGCAGAAAAATCCATCCATTTGCAAAATACACTTGCAGAATAAATAGATTTTTTTGCTAATAGGTTTGTAGAAGTAGTTTAATGAAGATATTCTCTGATGAATGGATAAATATTAGGATCACAATTCAGTGCCCATGGAARGTGATGGCATTAATAGGAACAAGTAACTAAAGGGAAGCACGTGCCTAAGTGCTCTGCTGGATCGGRGCCAGGCTGCTCAGCACTCTGCTGGACTTTTTACAACAGCAAAGCTATTTTTGTAGGTTGCACTTTTGGAATTTATAAGAAGAACAAATAAAGAAAAAGAACACAAAGATTCCCCATCRTATATCTGTAAGTACAGAGTGACTTGAGCTGGTTCGCACGTTTGGATTAATCAGGAATGCAGTTCAGCTCTGGTACTTTTAAAATCCAAAGCGAATCAAAGGAAACCTGACTGTATGTAACAGTGTATGTGTAGCGTTACCCAGTACTAACTTTACTTGCAAAATACATGTTCTCCCTTCCATTCCACGACAGACTGTAGTGAAAGGAGAAGAAAGTCAGCGCTGGCCATTTCAGAGGCACACAGCACAGCGTCCACCCAGTGCTCCCTGAGCTTTCCCCGCCAAGTGACTGTGTCGGGAGTGAAGGCGGCCCCGGGTCTGAGCTCCGGGATGGCTGCTGTGAGGAGCTCGGCCTGCGCTGGGGCCTGCGACCGGCCTCCCCACAGCGGCGCCGCTCCCGCCACGTGCCCCGTCCCTGGGTGGCGCCGGGCAGCGCGACACTGAAACTCGGCCTCGCTCACCACACAGATTTTTCTAGAGGATAACGGTGTGGTTAAACCCAGTGCTGAAGTTATATATCTCAGGCTAACAGTGCTGGCGAGGCAGTGCCAGCCTTYGCTATCTCACAGTTTTCAGACGTAATCAAAATAAAGTTTAGCGCCGAATTGCGTGATCCCTTCTGTGTGCGAAACACCTGAAAAGGTCACTGAAAATCCCTTACAGCGTCACTTGAAGGATCGGGCTTTTAACAAGAATGATGGAAGTTGGAAGCTGGAGTGACTTCTTGACATTTAGCCAAGAGAAAGTATTTCAGCAGTGACACTATTTAACCACATTTCTAATTGGCTTCCTCTGATTATGTAGGTTTTTGATCTTAGAGTGTGTTAGTTCCATTGTTTTCAGTTGATAACAAGAACATAAAGTAATATTTCTAGAGTGTGCTGATAGTAGTGAAACAAGTATAAACAAACTTAACTCTTCAGTTATCCTATCCTACCTTTATGCAATTGCTTTCATTYGGGACGATCCCGTAAGCA